AAAACGCACTGTTTCAAACATTTAAACTAGATTTATGCTTATTTTGTTATCATAATAGATGGTTCCTTGTGATTTTCTCTGTGGGACAATAGCATGTGATCATAAATTGGTCTAAAATGAAAAATCGAATCTAAAACCAACAATATTACTTATCTTTCTTTATAAAAAATGTACTGTTTTGACAATTTAAACTAGACTTCTTCTCATTTTATCATCATAATGGATGCAAAGTCCTTTTAATTTGTCCAAAGCTTCAGGAGAGCCTCCCAGGTTTTATTTCCATCAGGTTTTATTTTAAGTCATTTTCCTGCTTGTTACAGCTCACTTCTTCTGGGTTATATTCACTTTAGAAACATGTTGGGGTTTCGGTTCCTTCATAAATTAGTCTAAAATGAAAAAAGCTACTCTAAAACAACACATTTAAAAAATACTTGTGGATTCCACATTGATCTGAATGTCCGCATAAAGCTACTTTTTACAATCAAATCATGCAGGAAGTTAAACTTTTGGCTTTTTTCTGCAGGAAAATCAGCAGTTCATTGACCTTCCTCACTGAGAAAGATAATAACATTAATCAAATATTCAGTGTTGTTGAAAAAAAACTTTTTCTGGGGTGAATGACCTTTGTTATGACAGGCTAGCTCAGTTAGCTAAGCTAAGTGAGCTAGCTCATGGCTGACTGAGCAATTCCCACATTTCTAAGCGTTAGCTTCTTCTTTTTATGTTGCTTTTTAAGAGCTGGTCTTGTTGGGGCATGAATTCTCTGACAAGCGAGATCATGGTTAAACTCACAAACTCCATCATCAGCTTGGCTAGCGCCCCCTAGCATTTAGTTTTGGAGCTAACAACGCTAGCTAGCACCCCCTAGCTCTAAGCTCTGGAGCTAACAACGCTAACTAGCACCCCCTAGCTCTTAGCTCTAGAGCTAACAACGCTAGCTAGCGCCCCCTAGCTCTTAGCTCTGGAGCTAACAACGATAGCTAGCGCCCCCTAACTCTTAGCCCTGGAGCTAACAATGCTAGCTAGCACCCCCTAGCTTTTAGCTCTGGAGCTAACAACGCTAGCTAGTTATTGTTAACTGTTGTTAATTGTTGTACTAATATTCTCAGATTAATCTTAAAGTTATGACTCAAAGAAAATGAATGAATACCTCCTCTTCTTTGTGTCATTTAGCTCCCTTTAAATGAGAAACGCCCATTTATTTAGATTCATGAGTCCAAATTCAGCTAAACCAAACAGATTAGCCAGTTAGCATACGGATAGATCTCTTTTATGGCTAAGCAAAATGCTCAGTTTAGTAGCAAAATATCTGTATTAATAATTTTGAGTAGTGAGAGAAGCTCTTAACTAAAGGTACTAATAACCGAAGATGTAGTTTGGTGACATTTCATGCACTTAATCCATAGAATATAATAATAATAACTCATATTAAATTCACTCCAGGAAAATATTATTTTTCTTTTATTTAATTCCCGTTTGGCTCTCTGTGTCTTGTGGATTCGTCCTTTGGTCTTATACAGATTTAATATGGTTGTTTTTTCTCCGTTTACATAAATGTTTAAGTAGAAATATGGATTATGTTCACTGACAGTTAGAGGAACTTTGGTTCTGACCCAGATGTTGTTTCTGGTTCATTATGAGTCGGGTTTTCTGAATAAAACCCACAGTGACATTTAACGTGAAGCCGTACGGCTCTGGGAGTCCTTTGTGTTTCTGTCGTTTTTCTGATCGGGGGGGCTGACGGGGACAGTGGGATCTTTGTGGAGTTGATTTGGATTCAGAGGCTTTTGACAAAGAGCCATTTTGGTGTCGGGAGTTGTGTCGTCCGACTGGAGGTCTGAAAAAACGCTGTGAAATTTGTGAAAGTCTGGAACCGTCCAGCTGGAGGCCTCCAGGCTCACCCAGACACAATAAAAACGCCTCAGACTCAGTGTTTGTCAAACCAAACATCCAATAAAAGTTCCTCAAGCCACCAAGAGGCACCGGGGTCCAGTCTCTGTACGCGGGCAAAAGAAGATTTAACATCAGAACTTGTTGATTATTCAGGAAGGTTTATTTGTTCTTTCCAGCAACAATTACAGAGTTCAAACTTTCCTTTGTTCTCATGCTGTTAATCTTACTCTATTCTTTATTATTTATTATTCTTTTGCTCTGTTCTCTTGCTCTGGTAAAAACCATAGGCCCCAAACCCAAATGCCTTGCTGGTCCTTTACCAGGCCCCTATACTTATAGAAAAGTGGACTGGTCCTTTACCAGGCCCCTATACTTATAGAAAAGTGGACTGACCCACATGACTTCCTGTCTAACTCAAAGAAGGAATAAGAAAAATAACAACACAAGAAATTAAATAGAATCAACAATTATTAACCTGCAAACAAATACTGTAAACAATACCAAAAATATACATTTAAGAATTAACTAACAAAATTAAAATGAATAAAGAAATAAAGAATAAATAGCTCCAACACTCAGGAAGAGTCCCAGAAACAGAACAAACGATTTGTCTCTGTGACAGCTGCTGCTCACAAAAAACCCAAATATCCACGTTAAGCTGCAGACGCTGGCTCATCCCTTGAGTTAGGGGCCTTTTTTCTGCCTGGATGACTCAAATATTAGAGGGTAAACAGAGAAAAAAACACCAAAACTGGACTGAAAAATAGAGAAGCAGAAAAAGAGAGACACTCTGGAGCTTAACCCTTTAAAGCCTGATTCAAGAATAAAACAAAACAGAAAATTCATTTTTTTTGGTTTGAATTCCTTATTTAGCCTTTTGACAAAATATGTAACAAGAAAAAACAGAAATACATTTTTAATATTAATAATTTATTACTATGCGATAAATCAAGATTATGTTTGTGTATGATTCTGCCCCCTGTTATCAGG